ACAATCCAAAATTTACTAGTGGTCAAATAGAAATTTTAGAAACTTCAAAAGGCAAATATAATTATAACAATAATTTTACCAAAGGATTTAAATTTGCATTCTGTTCATCATGTAATAGCAAGTGGTATCATGTTGGAAAAGCTAAATCTAAAGTAGAATCAAATAATGATAAACATCTTGATAATACATTAGAGAATAATAATATAATTGATGATGCTGTTGAATCTACTACCACTACGTCCTATTCATCAAGTCAAGCAAATCAATCAGCATATAAAGCAGCAAATTTGTATTCATCAGATTTTATAAGTCAACCAATAGAAGATTTATTATCTGATGGCGTTGAGGAATTAGAAAATGATATTCATTCTAAGTTTGATAGATATCTAGATGATGAATATAATAATGACAAAGAAGAATTTTTATTTAAATTATGTATTAAAAATCAAGACAATACTATGTTGCCTGCTAAGCGAGTAAACATTTTAGCAGAATCTTGTGATGAATTTTGATATCAAATTCTTTCAAAAGTCCGACTTCAGTTAGATAATTTTACTATTACTCAAGATAATTATGTTTTGTCATATAAAATAGCAAAAGAATCTGGAGCTGGAACTCAAATTTTTGATGAAAATGACTTTAAAAGTTTTGTAAAGGATTATAATAATGCTATAAATAAGAAAAAGGAAATCTTTATCAATGTTCAAATACAAAAAATTTTAAAAAATAATCCGAAAAAACGATTATATAAATCAGTATAAATATATTTTTTTTATTCCTTTAATATTTTTAAACTTTTAATAATTTATCAATAATCTTATTTTTAGAATCCTGAAGAACTAAGTAGCAATGATAATTCTACTAAAAAGCAACCAAAACTATTTGGTAAAAAGTCTAAAGTTTCTCATCTTGATGATGAAAGACATACTACAGCATCTATTATTTCTCAAATTCGTGAAAAATATTATTGTGCTAATTGTGAAGAATCATGTTGGCTTACTGAAACTGGTCATATTAAACTATCTGGTATGCATTATACGACTTGGGCTCGAGCTATTGTATGAATTTATTTATATTAACTTTATAATAGTCAATAGTTATTTTTATTTTACTATATTAAACTTTTATAAATTATTAATAGTCAAACGGAATAGCTGATATTAATACGCCACCTTGTCATGCAATATTTACACTTCCACCTAAACCAAGAGGAACATCAAGTTCTAATCAACTATCATCTAATTTAAATAATTCTTTTCAAAATTATTCTTCGATACAATCATCAACTAATTTTGCAACACAACCTACAAATTATTTTTCAACTCAGCCTATAACAAATTCTTCTACACAACTACCAACTAATATATCAAATCAAATACCAACTAGCTTATCATCGCAATTGCCAGCTAATTTGTATACACAATTACCAACTAATTTATCAACACAATTACCAACTAATTTGTCTACACGATTACCAAATAGTTTGTCAACACAATTACCAAATAGTTTGTCAACACAACCTTTAGTAAATTTTTTATCTCAACCACCACCAATTAATCTTTCATCACAACCATTAGCTAATTTTTTTTCTCAATCGCTTAATATTTCTTTACAATTACTACCTAATGTCCCCTTACAAACATTATCTAATAGTTCTTTACAATTATTACCTAATAATTTTTTACCTTATTATATACCATTTCCAGTTATTCCTAATTTACAATCATCAAATACTTCATTACAAGAATCTGTAACTACAAAATCTATTCCTAGCCTCAAAGAATTTTTAACAGAAGTTGACAATGCCAAGGATGCTGGTGGTGAAATTTTAGCATGTTTGCCAAAATTTCAAGATCAAGGTATTCGAATTAAATGGATAAGTAGATTAACAGATGAACAATTTAAATTAGTAGGAATTGAGAAGTCCAGATGGCAAATAGCATTACAAGAAGCTTCAAAAGAATATAGTTAACTAGAATATAAGTGGTTGCAACCCAAACTTTTTTTTAGTTACAGTGTTTCTACTTAGTTTGGGTTTGGGAATTGGTATTTATGCTTAGTTTAGGTTCATAACCAAAACCCCAATATGTATCCCAATTCATTAAATAGTGTCAAATTCAAATACTATCAATTTATTAAATAAATTTTAACATAAATTTGATAATCTAAAGATCAAATCCAATTCAAGACCATGGATAGATTAATTATCAAATAATTAAATATAGTTAAGTCAATAACACATAAAAATTTTGATTAAGTGTAACCAGGTAATAAACAGCAAGCAGATTTCATACTTATACCAAAAGAAACTGATTGCCAGATAATACGTATCAGGAATAGGGTCCAAAGACAGACGGTCTTTTAAAAAGTTTGACCGGATTGCAGTCCTGGACTGATTAGGACCGATCAGTATGAGACTGTACAGACCAATTATTAGACTAATTAAATGCTACATAAGTTGCATCAATATATTGTATTATTACCTGTTATTATAATAGCCTCCATTCAAATTATTAGTTTATTACCTCTAACTGAATATTTAAATCTGCTATTATTATTAGTGATGAATTTTAAGAATCATATACATAATTTTTGTAGGCATATTTTTAATAAACTTGTACTGTAAGTATATCTAGAAAATAATTCTAATTAAATATATTAAGTATATTAAATTTGTATATCTAACTCTTGCAGTTATTATAATAAAATAGAGATTAAATAAGAAAAACCCTATTTCAATTTTTATCATCTAAAAATTAACCTAATAGAGTATTTAGATTAAGACTTTTTTTTTGGTTAATTAAAATTAGTATCGAGATTGAAAAAGTCACTGTCACTATGAGGTTGTAGTATTCTATATGTATTGGTTTAATTATACATTTAATAGAAATATCCTTTTACTACCTATCATTGATTTTGAATTTATAACATATAAAAATATTTCTATCCATCTTATTTTTTCTATTTTATTATATTACCTATTTTATATAATTGAAAGATATTAAGTTTAAAAAATAAGATAAAATGAATAATACCGATAATGCAGGCGGTTGTGCAACATTCATCTCAGAAATGGGCGTCAAAGAGACCTACACAAATACATGCATGCATACTTACTGGTTGCCAAGCACCTAACCTTCTTTCCAGCAGCAGCTGAGGTCCCACCACCGCCGCCAGCTCACGAATTTGAAATATGAACAATGAAAGCCTCGCCCAATTGTATGATTATGTCGACGTGATGAACATTTTCCATGCCAACGACGACACGGCAGACATGCCTCCTTCTCCTCCTCTGTCAAACGAAACGACAAGATCATCCTCCTCCTATATGATAGGATAGCTGGTGGCGGTGCGGATCACCTCACTTGGATGCATCACCATCATCATTATGTGAATACACACACACCACATATCCACACATCCACATCCACTAACGAATAGACTGGACAGCATGCACACCCAGTTAAAGATTCAAGTTCTTCCGTTCCACATACATGTTCTTGATTTACACTAAAGAAATTTAGTTTTTCCAAATCCAGAACAGTTATATGTAAGTACCAAACCTATAATTAAGTATTCGCTGCTTAGCATATGTCTTTATATCAACTCAATAAAAAGTTTCTCACGACTATAATTAAGATATTTATTTTATGTACATAATCTAAATTTAATATCAGATCAAATATCGCAGAATCAGATTATTATAGTATTTCGTTTCACTTGATTTGGATCCGCATAAAATATGAACATTGCTATAGTGCTTATTCCATCAATATTGTAACGGTAAAATTATATTAGAAATAGTGTAAATGAAGTGTTGGCTATATAAGAGTGTGCAATTATATAATACAAATTCATTGTATAATAATAACTAACCAGTTGGGTGTTTCGATTTTAATACTTTAACACTCGCTAAAGATAATTTCATCAAATAAATAAATAAATAGAAATAGTAAATTACCACAGCAGTTCTAAATGAAGGTTCCCAAGAGTGTATAGGTCCGAGATAAGTTGATGACCAGTCATGACTATTCAATATATTAATGATCAATCATAATTATTCTATCATCACCCATGACTGAAATATAACATAACTCGCTTTACTGTTACCA